TTGTTAAGAAGAAGGAATCCTTATTAATATCTTCAACAAAGCAATGAATAAAGTTCTTCCTCGGCTTAAGTATCTGTATCTTTATGGCAGTATCCCAAAACAACCAAACTCGTCCCAACTTTGAATCAAAACAGTTAAGACATTTCTGCCATCCCACAAAAACCTCCTCTACTGCTTCCTCCGCTTTATTTGCATGTACCCTGATCTCAAGAACTGCTACTACATCTACTTTACTTCTACGTAGGACTTGCATCAAGTCCCTCTGCTTGGAGGTTTTATTAAACCCCCTTACATTCCAAAACAGAATGATCATTTCAAAGTTGGGGGCTTCCCCTCACCCTTCTTCATATTCTTCTTTATCTCTTTCTTCTTTGGTGCTTCCTGTATCTTACTAGCTTCCTTACTTGCTTCTTGATCACTCAATTTCCCTAAAACACTGAAGGATGAGCTCGAAACTTGAATACCTTTAGATCTATCTTGAGAAAGCCAGATGCGAGGTCTAGCTCCAATAACCACTCTTTGAAATTCTGCTTCAGATGGTAACTTGGGCGACGTAGCCACCTCATAGAAGAATTTCTCTAAGTTATGAGGGGCCACTTTGCTTCCTCCTACTAGACTGGGGGTAGTAAATATGACCATTAGCTAAGGATCATCATCATAGAGCACCACCTCTTTACCTTTATCTGACACTACCTGTAGATCCACAGTCATATTTCCTTCCTGATTCACCGATGTAGACTTATCATTCTGCCCCTGAGCTGTACTTACTTCCTCATTATGCACTGGCTTTGCCACGCACTGTTTTCCTTGATGATCGGCACATGAGACAGTAGTTCCAAAGAGGTGACACACATGGCAGATGGGGGGTAAGTTACAGTAGGTGATTCCGATTTCGCTTTCAACTGTTAGCTCTACCAGAACTTTAGCAAATCCATATATATCCCCCATTCGGGTTGTATAATCCATACCTAGTGGAACCCCAATCCAGCTCGCTATTCTACTCTACCCCTGGAAGTCATTATACTCTAATGGAACATTCGCTAAATTCACCCAGATCGGCAGAGCCTTCCTTCCCAAATCCTCAAAACTAATACCCGGAACCCAAGGCCGAAGATACAACAAGTTGTTGAACCAAAACCATGGACCATTTTCCAGAATCCACTCACAAACCTTTTGGTTGGGCAATTGAATGAGCAACATCTAGTCATAGAGTAACGAAACCCTCACCAGACTTTCCCTCCCCCAAAGCTTATTGACCCAGCGACGCAGATGTTAAGGAATAAACTTTCATAGTTCACAGCAAAACCTAAGATCCTATGATTTTGGGGGATGGAAAAGTAGGTGAATTCTACGTTTAATGGGAAAAGGAAGATGTTTAGGAATACACTTCAGCACAAATGCACCTCCCTGGATATTGAAACGGCTCCTCAGCATGTTGGTCTAGCAGCTACTGCAAGTGAACTGCACCTACGACTGCTACAGTTGTTGTATCGTGATAGAAACTGGTATTACGGTTCTATCGGATCTGGTTGTGAGATTGAGAATTAGGGATTTAAGAATAGAATTAGGGATTTGAGAAGAGAAGGATAGAGAATCGGCCTAGGCCTTTAGAGGGATTGAAAACGAGAATTGACAGGATTGGGAGAATAGGGTTTAGGAGATTGTTTCTTAATATTCTTCTTATTATTAGACCACACATTATGGGAGATTTATGAATAAAATTATATAACATTTATGTAAATTAAAAATTATTATTAGGGTTAATAGCATTTTGTAGGTTCCGGATACTATAACAATATAGTAACAACAAGGGTAAAACCGAGAACTCACTAAAAGTAATAAAATAGAAATTAAAATAAAATAAACAAAGACCCCAAGCCTTCCATATCTCTCGTCTTCTTTATCCCTTAGCTTCCTCTTTCTTCCGGCACCGAAGCCGATTCAAACCAGTCTGCATCCACTTTTTCGTCGGTGTAGATTCAAAAGTTTCTTCTTTTAGGAATCCTCGTAAGCAGCAGAGCTTCGCGACCACCACCGTCGACGGCGGCATGACGAGTTCATCGAGGGGAACATGTCGTCCAACGGCGTCGCCCAAACTCTGACTCTCCCATGCTGCCCAGCCGCGAGAACACCAGATCTGGCGCTTTCAATTGGAGGGACAGAGCAGGAAACATAGAATCATCGCAGGTAGGGATCGAAATCGAGAGCGGCGGTGGTGGGAAAAGAATGAGCAGTTACGACGGAACCTAGAGCACAGGACGGAAAAGATCGATAGACTGGGAAGACGGTGGTGGCGGCCGCCGCTACCAGGGAGAGGAGGAGGAGGCGAGGGCGGCGAGTCAATATTTGAGTGATTACAGCGACGTCAACAACGACGACAACTCCTCATTGCTCATTGGTAACGGCGGAGGGTTTGGGTTCTAGTTTTTGCCCAAGGAGAGTAGTAGCAGTACTAGTTCCGAGAGGATAGTGAAGGAGGAGGGGCAAAATGAAATTTTGTGGATTAACAGGGATGACCATAATTATAGCAACAGCAGCGACCAAAATGGAGGTGCAGGCGGCGGGACGTATTTTGGGAGCTGGCGAGGGCTTTCATTCAGGAGCTTGGAGAGTTCCCAGTCTTAGTACCAGTACTGCTGGAACAAAATCATCACCACCAACACCCAAATTACAGCCGTTCGAATTGGAGATTCTGTTAAAGCAACGACACCATTCGTATGCTTTCTACGCCTAATTGGAAACGTTCGCGATTTAGAGAGGCGGGAGCCAAGGGGTCACCATTTTCGTCTTTTTCAATTGAATAGCATGAAGTTTCAATTTTATGCACATTAGTTAGTTTGCTCTGTTTTGGCTCATTGTTGGTCACTTTTTCTGCCTTTTCAGATTTCTTGTTTTAGTGCTGGTGTAAATGTATCGCCATTTCATAATGGCGGTTAATAGGTGACACGCTATAACACAACACAAAACTGCGACCAAGTGTAATCGCAGTCCGGAAATGCAGTAAAGTGGCAAGTTCTAATCATCAACCCGGGGTCTAGATCTACTGCCTACTCCGTTAATATCTATTATCTAGCCAACTAAGTCGATTGATTGTGGTTTTAACTAAAAGCAGTAAGAAAGTAGGAAAAGATTCGGTTTTCTAAGCAAAGGAGGAGTCACTCGGGAATGAGTCCCCCTAGCTCCTTAGTTAGGTCTCAGTTTTAATTTCCCTGGGTTGATTTACTGTTGATTAAACTGCGAAAGATCCGACAGTAGCTTGGAATCTCTTAAGTTGACCAAGCCCTCTCAGGCAGGCTAACCGGCAGACGACTAATCTTCACCGGGATAGAAAGTTGAGGCAAAAAGCACAAAACTCCACTATTGGAATTGGGTTCCAGTACAAAGCACTAGACTGATTAACTCCCGTATAACCACTCTACCACTACCGAATGATGAAGCTCTAACAACCTAATCAGATTCTATCTTTCTCAGGTTGCAGCAGAAATCAAGAAAAGATGATCAGACTTCAATTGACTCAATGAATCATGCATCATTCGATTAAATCAAACAGTATAACAATCCCAAGTCATTACAATCAAGATCCCTAACACATGGAACTAGGGTTCTTCATACCCAAGTGAGAGAGGGTTCTACTCCATAGAGAGAGAGAGAGAGAGAGAGAGAGGAAAACAGCAAACAAAGCAGTCATACTCATCTAGATGGGAAGAATCTGCTCTGGGATGTCAATCTTCACTCCAAGGATGATTTCCAAGCTTGATTGGTGAAACCCAGCTCCAAAACCACTCTTAGGAGGTGTCCTTCGCACTTTCTCTCTCTAGGGCTCTCTTTTTGCTCCAAAAATTCGATTCCCTCTCCTTTGCCTCGAATTTGGGTTAAAACCCAGAAATTTACGACCACACGGGCAGGCCACACGGTCGTGTGGCTTTCCCAGCTTCCCGTGTGAGTTGTGCAAAACATGGCGTTTCGATAAGTGGACTTCAGCAAGCCTACACGGCCACAACCACACGGCGGTGTGGATTTCCAGGCTGCCAGTGTGAGCTCCCTAGAATTTCCACACGGCCGCATGGGTTCCCTTACTCGGCCGTGTGGGTTTTAGGCATGCCCGTGTGACTTCCTCAGCTTCTCGCCAAACGTCCGATATCCGTCCAATCGACCCCGAACTCGTTCCTAAACCTTCATTCATGTTCTAGGACCTGAAATATCATAAGAAAGAACAACCTAGCGTGAAATCGGTCTAAAACACGAGAATCAACATCTCAAATGGCTCAAGAATAGGGGTAAAAACATGTGCAATTAACGGTCTATCAAACTCCCCCACACTTAACCGTTGCTTGTCCCCAAGCAAACCTGACTCAAACCAATACAACTCTCCATACCTCTATAGCAACATGCAACCCCGATCGTCGGTAGAGGATTTTCTAGATTATTTAGCAACTTACGAGGTCAACTGATCTTCTAAGACGCCTCCTATCTCTCTCAATTCGAGTACTAGACTCAAGCCAGGATCATGAGAAGCAGTGGAACTAAGACATTCCATTCATGGATAAGGAGACTCACACAATTCAACAACCAAGGACTCATTGTATCGGGTGCTCTTTCATTTCATTTCACTTGTTGGAACCCTTTCTTCTTACTATTTGTTTTGTCTCTTTTTTTTTCTTTGTTGGGGTTCCAACTACAATTTGTATGCGCGTTCTGCCCTTATAAGGTGAGCAAGAGCAATTTCTGTACATCTGTCACTCGCCAGAGTACTTCTTTTAACTCCTATTCGTCACTTCGTGTGGAGGGTCAATGAAATTAAGGGGGGTCGGAAGCTCTATACGTGCCCTTAAAAACACATCCTCAAGTAGGCAAACCGTTCAACGGGTGGAAATTTTACTTGTACTAGAGACAACTTAGCTTCGCCTTGTAGGCCTACTCCACCAAGGATCACTAAAATCTCTTCCAAAACCCGATTTTGTGCAATGAACGGTGCCGCACGCGTTGGGCTTACCCCATATCTTAGAATTTCAAATTTTTTACATGGAGGACCAACTGCTTTTTCATTTCACACTTGAGCACCCTTTTTCGATACACGAGTCAACACACACAACATAAGAGGAGTCATCAATACCACATGAATCAACGGCCCTAAATCCACTAGTTCACAAAATCAACTGGCACAACTACCTCCCTAGTTTGCATTTCACCATTAAGACTGTCAATTCAAAGAATACTTCAACATCCTCCATAGTGCTACAACTACCTCCCTAGTTTGCATTTCACCGGTACTTGGAGCCCTCAATTCATCAAATTGGACAGTGAACTAGGCTCCAAGCACACAAACTCATCTAGCATTCAACAATAGATAAACACCCCCCCCCCCCCCCCCACACACACACACTTAAGCACGACATTGCCCTCAATGGAGCAAGGTAAAGATAAGGAGAACGATGTTACCAGATGGAAAGACTGTCGGGGACTGGAAGTGGACCAGTCAACGAGGAACATATGGAATGAATGGAACAGTTCTGCACGAAGGGAACATCAAGAACACACTAGCACACTGTGCGTTAGGGATCAGAGTTATCCCAGATGGCCACAGAATAGACAATCCACAAAAGAAAGAAAAAATGCAAAACCAAATGACAGACTTAGTTCAAGCTCCGCACACACATGGAGCAAACAAGAAAAGTCTTAAACAAAAACACACTATGAGGGGCGACGAGTATAGACTACTCGGGCCTTCTCCCGCACACACAGCTAGAGGAGGTGCTGCTGGACCTCCTGCATACGCCGAGATCGGGCCTTCTCCCGCTCGATGTGATCAAGGGTCACCCCCTGCTGGGTCTCCATACGGTCAAGGCGCTCATCATAAGAAGCCATCCGGGTTTGATACTCGGCCTGGTGAGCCAAGTACTGCTGCTGGAAGTGGAGCTGATGGTCGAGGAGTTGCTGGTTCTGGATGCTCAGCTGCTAGAACTAGTGAGTGAAGTAGTCCTGGGATGGAAAGGTGGAACTGCCACCCCCGTACTCGAAGGTGATCGGGCGGGGGGCATCAACATCATCCACATCCTCGGGATGGACATCCTCAACAGCCTCATCCTTAGGAGCATCGAGCTGGTCCTCCGCTGGGATCTGAGGTTCAGGAAACCCCGCGATCCACTTGTTGTCGCGCTCGACTCGCAGCAGGTGCATACTCTTGATCGTGTCTTCACTGAAAGTACTAGTGCCCCCCTGCTCTGTGCAACCCTGCAGTGATATCTGGAAGTAGGTGGCCAGGCAGGTGATGAGGGGAGTGCAGTGTAGGCTCCGCAGTTCTGAAGCACTCTTGTCAAAGGATCTGGCCACCACAGAACCCAGGTGGAGAGGATGGTCCGTCTGGCGGATGGACTGAATGAAGTACACGGATCTCTTGGTGAGGGTGCTGGCACTTTCCGCAGTTGGAGTGTAGGACTTCGCCAGCATGTGGTGGAGAATGCGGTTATCGAGCTGCAGGGTGCTGGCCTTCGTTCGCCCTGCAACGAAGGGAGGCTGGCCGGGCTGAGCTAGGCGAGTGTACAGCGTCTTGAAGTTCACACCCACTGGATCCTTGAGCTCAGTGATGTAGTCCCCATCATCTTCCAGGCCGAGGTTGAGAGCGGTCGCCAAATCGTGGTAGCTCATGGAGCGGGGCGCACCTCCGAGCCTGAACTTGACGGCTTCACCGTCTGCCCAATCCTCTGTCTCTTCGTGCTTGAAGGTCATATAGAACTCAAGCACCAGCTCGTGGTAAACCTTCTCTCGAATGGACAGCAGACGACGCCAAGGGCGGTTGGTGGCAATGGCGAGGAAGTGGTCATAGCAATTCTGCTTCTCAAACTCCCTCCTGGACCAGTAATGTGTCTCTTGCAGGACCATGACGAAACCGGATCTCAAGCACCCGTTCATCCGGGATTTGATGAGGAGCCCCCACCAGGATTGATTTAAGCGTTAGAGCCTTGCCGGAAATCGCCTCCGGTGACACAAATCCGGCCCAAATCGCCCCAAACTCAAGGTAAATGCCGAAAAGGATGAGGGTAGATTGGGTTGGGCGGTGGTTTGGTAAAAAGCCGACCAAAAATGGCCAAAAATCGCCCAAAAAAATTCAAAATCGCGGTTTTCCGGTGAGAGGTGTTAGGTTTCTGGCGACGCGTCCGTGTCGGCCGAATTTATAGGCGCCGGGTCGGCCACACAGGGACGCTCACACGGCCGTGTGAGGTGCAATAGCGCCCGTGTGGGTCGATACGGCTTGGCCGAGGAATTTCACACGGCTGCGTGAAGGAGCAATTCTTGCCGTGTGGAAATTGTCGAGCCTTCACACGGCCAAAGGCCAAAACCACACGGCCGTGTGAGGGACCCCTCCTGCCCGTGTGAAAATTCCAGGGCCTCCACAAGGCCGTGTGAGATTTACGCCTGGCCGTGGGGATTGCAAGAGCTCCGAATTTGTCCTGTTTTCGCGCAAAATCGACATTCGACTCTTAGACAAAACCTCACGACTCAAAAAAACAAAAAATTAAAAGGAAAAAAGGGAAGAAAATGCAAACCTAGGTGGGGTTACCTCCCCACAAGTGCTTCTTTATCGTCTTTTAGCTGGACGCCAATAGAGGAACTAAGGGTCCTCGATCTTGATCAGCAGCTCTGCACGCTCAACCGCACCTCCCAAGTACAACTTTAGGAGGTGGCCATTCACCTTGAATGGCTCAGTTTGAGCATTGCTGATCTCCACTGCACCATACGGGAAAACTTGGGTGACCGTGAAGGTTCCCGACCACCTCGAACGTAGTTTGCCCGGGAAGAGTTTCAGGCGTGCATTGAAGAGCAGAACACGATAACCTACCTGAAACTCCTTCGGGCCCCTCAACCGTGCGTTGTGGCGACGCTTGCTTCGCTCTTTGTAGAGCAGGGTGTTCTCGTAGTCATGGTAACGCCATTCCTCCAACTTCAGCAGCTGCAACTTACGTTCAGTACCTGCAACACTCAAATCCAGGTTTAGCAGCTTAATGGCCTAGAAGGCCTTGTGCTCTAGCTCTACTGGCAAATGACACGCATTCCAATATACAAGCCTATAGGTAGAAGTGCCAATCAGGTTTTTATAGGCCGTCATGTATGCCCAAAGAGCATCATCGAGCTTGGTGGACCAATCCTTGCGGGACTGATCCACCGTCTTTTCAATTACTCGTTTAAGCTCCCTGTTCGTCAGCTCGGCTTGCCCATTTGACTAGGGATGGTAAGCCACCGACACTTGATGCTTAACACCATAGCGAGAGAGGAGTTTAGTGAATTGCCCTTGAAAATGGGTTCCTCTATCACTAATGATGGCGCGAGGTGTCCCGAACCGGGAGAACAACTGCTTCAGAAATGAGCAGACCCGTCTTGCATCATTGGTGGGCATGGCTTGAGCTTCTGCCCACCTCGAGACGTAGTCCACTACAACCAATATGTACAGATTGCCAAAAGATGGAGAGAATGGGCCCATGAAATAGATGCCCCAAACATAAAAAATTTCACAAATGACAGAAATTTGTTGGGCATCTCATCTCGGGAAGAAATGTTACCTGACCTTTAGCAGCGGTCGCACTGTCGTGCGAAGGTGTCTGCATCCTTGAAGAGCGAGGGCCAATAGAAGCCCGACTATAGCACCTTCCACGCCATGCGGTTTCCTCCATGGTGACCTCCAGTAGGTCCCTCGTGGCATTGAGACAGGATGTCTCCCATCTCGTTCTCCATGACACAGTGCCGGATCACGCCATCTGCTCCGATCCTGAAGAGGTAAGGATCCTCCCTGAAGTAATGCTTCAGGTCGGAGAAGAACTTGCGCTTTGCATGAGTGGCCATCCCCTTTGGTAGCTGCTTGCCCACCAGATAATTGGCAAAGTCAGAATACCAAGGGACCACGCTGTCCACCAATGTCATCGCCAGCAACCGCTCACCCGTGAAGGAGTCGTCATTCTCTTCCACGAAGTTGTCCACCGGAGGGGCTTCCAACCGTAAAAGATGATCTGCAGCCACATTCTCGGCTCCCTTCTTGTCCCGGATTTCTATATCGAATTCGTGCATAAGCAGGATCCAGGAGATGAGTCTAGGCTTTGCATCAGCTTTGCTCATCAGGTAGCGAATCGCCGAGTGGTCAGTGTAGACCACCACATGGTAGAGCACTAGATAGGGTCGGAACTTATCAATTGCATACACCACAGCAAGAAGCTCCTTCTCAGTGGTGGTGTAATTCTCCTATGCATCATTCAAGGTCTTCGACGCGTAGTAGGTGCTCTAGAGGTGCATCTCGCGTCTCTGACCTAGAACTGCTCCGACTGCATAGTCACTCGCATCGCACATCAGCTCAAAAGGAAGAGACCAGTCAGGAGTCACCATGATAGGTGCATGGGTAAGCTTCTCCTTCAAAGTCTCGAATGTAGCTGTGCACTCAGGAGTGAACTGGAATGGTGCATCCTTCTCCATTAGCTTGGTCAGAGGCAGGGCAATCTTTGAGAAATCTTTAATGAAGCGCCGGTAGAAGCCTGCATGACCTAGAAAGCTGCGAATCCCCTTCACAAAAATAAGAGGAGGTAGCTTACTGATCGTCTCAATCTTCGCGTTATCCACCTCAATCCCCTGCTTGGAGATCTTGTGCCAGATTAGTCTCCTCGCACCTCTTCAGAACAAGTTCCAGGTTATGGAGATAATGAGTGAAGGAGTCTCCATAAACCAAGAAGTCATCCATGAAGACTTCCATGATCTCTCTAACCAGTCGGTCGAAGATCGCCATCATGCATCTCTGGAAGGTCGCCGGTGCATTACACTGCCCGAATGGAATCCTCCGGTAAGCAAAAGTACCGATGGGGCAAGTGAATGTGGTATTCGCCTGATCCTCTGGTTCAATAGTAATCTGGAAATAACTAGACATGCCATCCAGGAAGCAATAAAACTCATGGCCAGCCAACCTCTCCAACATCTGATCAATGAAGGGTAGGGGAAAATGGTCTTTCCTGGTGGCATCGTTCAGGCGCCGGTAATCGATGCATACTCTCCAGCCGGTCACGGTCCGCATCGGGATCAACTCTTTCTTCTCATTCGGGACCACAATCATCTCGCCTTTCTTCGGGACCACCTGAGTGGGGCTGACCCACTTGCTATCAGATATAGCAAAGATGATCCATGCATCCATTAACTTCACAATCTTTGCCCGGACCACCGCCTCCAAGTTGGGAGACAATCTCTGTTGTGGCTGCCTGACTGGCTTAACCTCATCCTCCATCAGAATTCTGTGGGAGCAGAAGAATGGGCTAATGCCTCTGATGTCTGTGATCTTCCATGCCATGGCCCGGGCATACTTCTGCAGCAGAGCCACCTGCCTTCTCTTCTGCTCGGGTGTCAGATCCGAGCTGATAATGACCGGGAGCTTATTCCCCTCCCGGAGAAATGCATACTCTAGGTGAGAGGGAAGGGACTTAAGCTCCAGCTCTGGCAGCTCCTCCAATGATGTAGCGATCCAGGGCGAGATAGGGATCGGCTTGAATGGTATCTCTCGCCCCTCGATCGCGGCCTCGTCTAGCTCCGCAAGCTGCTCCTCCAGCTGCATGTCCTGTGATAGTTGTTCCCCTAGCAAAAGACAACGCTCGAGGAAATTGTCAGTACCCGCACTCGTGATGGCGAGTGTGGTCTCAAAATCAGCAACAACATCACAGTAGTCTAGATCATCATGCAGCTGGGGGTGTTTCATATTATCAGAAACAGAGAAGGTGATTTGTTCACCACCAGCTCGCAAAATCAATTTTCCATCATTCACATCAATGAGCACCTTGGCGGTGGCGAGAAAAGGTCTACCCAATATTAATAGCACATCCACATCCTCATTTATGTCCAAAATCACAAAATAAACAGGATATGAGAATGGCCCTACTGCGACTATCAAGTCCTCTGCAATGCCCCTAGGATGCACAATGGATCTATCAGCAAGTTGAATGCTCATCCTAGTATCACTGGGTTCACCTAGGCCTAGCTTTTTAAACAGTGTATATGACATGACATTTATGCTAGCGCCTAAATCCGCCAAGGACTTCCCTATATGCAAACTACCAATCATGAAAGGGATAGTAAAACTCCCTGGGTCTTTTCGCTTCTCTGGTAGTTTGTTCTGCAGGATGGCAGAACACTCCTCGTTGAGCATCACCGTTGACAGCTCCCCAAGCTTCCTCTTGTTGGTGAGGAGATCCTTCATAAACTTGGCATACTTGGGCATCTTCGATAATGCCTCCACGAAGGGCATGCTTATGTTTACCTGCTTCAGCATTGCCATGAACTTGGCAAATTCAGTCTCCAGTCGGTCCTTGTGCAACCGAGTAGGAAAGGGAAGCTGGGGTACATACTCCTTCACCACTAGTTGCGGTTTAGGAGCAGGCACCTCAACCTCCTTCTCCATTTCCTCTTTATTAGCTGGAAGTGCTGAAGCAGGGGTCTCTCTCTCTTGTGCCCGAACAGGTGGATCAGCAGTCACCTTGCCACTCCTGGTGGTAATGACCTTGCAATGCTCATTTGGGTCCTGCAGATGAGGGATGGTCTGACCGGGTAGAGTACCAGGAGTCTTTTGAGCTACAGCCTGGGCAACACTCCCAAGCTGGGTCTGGATATCCTGCAAGACAGCATGTGTGTTCCTCTGGCCAGCTTCAAGAGCCAGGAATTTACCCGAGGCCTTTTCCATGAACTGCTCGATAGTGTTGAATTTGTGAGCAGTTGAGCTGGCAAGAGAACCCACCAGATCTCGCAATTCCGGCATCGGGTCCCCTTCGTACTAGGGCTGCAGGTGCTGCCCCTGTCTAATGAAATGGCCACACCTGTGACTGAGGTGGAACTGGCCCCTGTCTGGGCGGGTACAGAGGCTGTTGCGGCTGCTGAAATTTCCCTTGTCTGGGCTGGTAAGGAGGACTCTGAAATTGCACATTTTCCCCACCCTAGGAGAATTTGGGATCCTGCCACCACCCCTTGTTGTAAGTGTTGTTGTAGGGGTCGAAGCGCCTGGCATTGCCGATGAAGTCCACCTGGTCTTGGGGGGTGGAAGACTCCCTAATTGCCTGACAATCCTACGCTGTGTGATGAGAACTCTCACACCACTGGCAGTGCATCGCCTGTGCTGTCCTATACCTG